GTCCAAAGAGGGAGAGAGGAAAGAGGGGAACGTGAAGAGAAAGTACAAGGTCAGGAAGAACCAAGTAAGAAAACAGACAGGGAACAGTGACAGGCAGAACACAAACTGTTAAACTGACAAAGAGAAAAAAACTTATTTTACTCACACAATCTGGAAGTTGTGTTCTCCCTATATTAAAGCTGCTATACAGAATCTGCAAAACAAACTGGGTTGAAACATTTTGACCCTCTTTAACAACATTCCAACATAACATTATAATTGATTGGGGAGATTAAAATTAATAATATATTTTTATGTGGTTCAGCCACAACTCTACTAAAACCTCAGCCAGTAATAGGTAGGCCAACTTTTGGACAGTCCAGTTGTCTGTATGACTGCTGCAGTACGTACATTACATTTGCACACTATCAGAAAGAGCCAAACAGCCCTGGTGGAGTGAGGAGCTGGAAAGAGAAGCAGATGCTCTGTTTATATTCTAAAAATGTTTTAAGCTTGTTTCAAAGATTCTGTACTGCAGCTTTAAATGTTTTCCAAAAGCACACATACATTTAATTTATCAGTGTTTCTTAAACTTTTTACAGTGTGTACCACCTGATAAAAATGTCAAGCTCTCCCAAGTACCACTATGAAAGCATGAAACTCATAAATCTTACAACACAAAATTAGTATCTGCAGTAAAGATGTTTTCATACATTGTATACATTCTACCACAGGCAAAGTTGCCTCAATTTTTCTAATTTTTATTAATATTTTGTAATAATTTATTCTGTTTTGGGAGTATTTTTTATGTATCTGTATTATATTATACATACACATTAAAAGTGAATCTCTGTCCAAAAAATGCAGTCAGTTTACTTTTTACTCACTATGAGCATCATTCATTATTCTCCCGCAGTAATTAAGGTTAAGATGTGTATTTTATTCCAATCCATTCTTCTTTTGCAGCATTTAAATAACCTTGATCAGATTTGATGATTTTGTTACAGACTTTTCAAAAAAGTGTTTTGCGTTTCTTTCACAAATGTGGGATTAAATTGTGTTAAAATGTACAAAACAGTGATGTCATATTTTGTGACGAGGACCCAGGCACAGAGAGACTTGATGAATTTAAGAATCTTATGATTTGATAAAGAAATTTGCAGATTTGCACAGAGATGGTAAAACTTTGATGACGGATAACGGAGACGAAGACAACAGACGATGAGGACAGGGAGGAACAGGGGTTTAAATGCACCAAGGAGACAGTCAGAGAGAACTCAGGACAACTGGAGACATTTAGGGATGCAGGGACTGACAGAGACAGGGAAGAAGCCTTATCGTAATGTGTAAAGTTTATCTTGCCTGGCTGGGCAGCTCTCTGGGTGCTCTGCACCCCCAAAGCTCTGATCCTAGAATCGCCCCTGGAAGATAGTTTAAAATATTATTATTATTAGTAGTAGTAGTAGTAGTATTGTTATTATATAAGAAGAAGAAATTGAAAAAAAATCCCTCATTGACACGTTTAGTTTGCGGCCTCCGTCTGGGTCATCCTTCCCTTTCTTGGGCCTTATCCTTCTCTCTGTGCATCTTGGCTAGAAGCTAGAAGTTAAGAAGAACCAGCTAGAAGCTTAATTTGCTTCTGCAGGAAAAAATAAAAAAAGAAACAGGGACTGTAAGCAAATGAAAACAAGTTTGCGAATGTAAAAAAAAAAGATTTTTTTGTTTTTGTTTTTCCCTTCAAATCTTCGATTTCAGACAACCTGTAAATAAAGTCTAGATGAAGAATACTTTGCGCTTTTAAAAAGTTTTGGTTCATTTTCATTCCTGACCAATCAAATCTCGCAGCTAACGCAGAAAAAAAGTGACAGTCACAGCAGGCTGATTGGCCATGGTCAGCATCAGTCAAGCAGTCATGAGAGCACTCTCCAGTTAGTTTCTGTTTGGACGCAGACCGACTGGAAGACTCGTAAGATTAACTAGGCCAAGCTCGACGGTCTTCGTTTTTTCTCAGCAAAATGATCAAAAGTGCCATTGTCCTCTTTTTAATTGTCTCGGTTTCTGCTGCTGGAGGTGAGCTGGACCTTTATAATAATAACAAATGTATTTTAATCAATTCAAGCTTTTATTTATCCTAATTATATAACAGAAAGCTGAGGATACAACGAATTTGCTCTTCTTCTTATTATTATTGTGTGGCAATTTTTCAAAGGCCTATGTTTTAATGATGGAATCCAGTTTATATCATCTTCGATGAAGATTTTTCTCCGTTTTTGTTTTATAAACATCGTCTATTGGAAAAAAAATAAATAAAAAAGAAACTTTCGCGGTTTAGAAAATAAAAAAATATTAATTTCCTGTACGTGGACATGAAGCATATAGTATAGCAGTGCATATACGAGAGAGGAAAATACTGTTCTGGGAAGGGAAAATAATAGCATGAAATGAAGTTACAAAACCTTCATAAGATTCATGTTTAGGTCCTGGTGCGAATCCACCTAATATCATTTTAATTACTTTTAAAAGAATCCCGAAAACTATCGTGAGAAACTGAATGAAAAAAATGAAAAATTAAATTAAAATAAAAACGCATCTTAAGAAAATCGAATAATTTTGTTTACGGCGACAACTTTTAATCATGACAACAATTGTT